CCAACAGAACTTATGTCCCTACGCCGTGCACAGAAAATTTATTAAATTATTCCAAATTCGATAAGTATCTTCACCCCTTCTTATTAATATTCGTAACAGGAAACGATACTGATGTCTATAATGAAAAATATACCCTCTACACACAAAACGTCCATTAAGAAATAAAATGATGCACAAAAATCCATTATGATATATCTCCGAAGTGTTAATAAAAGTCAAGTTTAAAACTGAAGTTATAGTGAATTTTCTACGTTGAAACCTGGATCGGTGTGCCTCCACACGACTTGGATAAGATTTGTAAATACGCCAATCAAAACTGGATTGCAGTTCACTTTTCTACACTGAAATTAATGCCAATAGATGTGTAATGATCACGTGTTACATTAATATCTAAACAAGGCATTCCTCCACTTGAAATTTAAAAATCTTATCAGACCATTTCTCAATGATCGGTCCCTCCCATTTTAAACCTCGCGTTGTAAACTGCACGGAAAATAGCGTCACTTGACGTAAGAGGGCGCCTTTAGTTGAACTTGGCAGAAAACTATTTCAACAGCCAAGGTGATAACACTGACAAAAAAAGTGAAATACATTCACAATACCTAGATAATAAACATGGAAAGGAGGTACCTCTTTTTCTTCGAGGCTAGTAATGCCGTCAGAATGACGCGTTCCGCCTCTTAGCAACAACATGGCGCCCCAACACCTGTGTATTAAGTGTTCTGTTCATGTAAATTATCCAGTTCTACCATATACACACGATCCTGTTTGAACAAGCAAACGCGTTTCCACGTAACTATTTTAATATTAATCGATTTTGTAATAATTCCGCGAGAGACTTCCAAGAGTTATAAAGCAGTATTATGAACTGTGATACACAAACAATTTAATGTTTTTAAACAAATACAGGTAGAATGCAGTGATTCTGATAACTCGCAGACGATGGTACGTAGAGGTTACATTTCACACAGACGACTCTTAGCGTAACGCATGGCAACCAGTGGTCAGCGAACACGTGGTGGTTTTCTGTCAGGTCTATGCCATCTGAATGTTTAAAATTCGATTGTGTTTCTTCTACCTTTACTGAAACAGACTGTGTGTTCTTCGGCTCATAAAGTCCTAAACCTGTTCAGAGATTTATCTAGTGCACTTGTACACCCAACCAACAAGAAAGTATTAGCAAGTATTAAAATGAATTAAGCATTCCAAATAAAACAACAGATTTTGGAATATATAAATATTTAAAAAAATAATTAAGAGTCGCATCTTGCAACATCAGACTGCATATTTGCCAGATAACGTGTTATTGGTGATCAGTAAAAAAAAACCGTCCCGAATAATAATTGGCTCAATTCTCATATATAATTTCTTCTAAAATTAATCATAAATTTTATCACACCAATTTGAACCTGAAGTTAAGAACGAAACTTCAAGACCCGAGTTCTGGAAAAAAACATTTACTACTCTGGTCCAGTGTATAAATGCAGTCGCAATGAAACAAAGAAGAGACGCAAATAAGAAGGAACCAAAAAACAAGAGGAAGACGGAAGTGAGGAGGATGCGAGAGTTAATAAAGTCCCTGGAAAGTCACGTGCTGCGATACTAGCAGACAGAAAAACATCGTGCCTGTTCTAAATTGCTGCAAACTCTACCCGTACTACTTTATAACACTGAGAGGCTATAAAATAGTAAAAAAAAAAATAACGATTCTACGAACAATTGAGAAGCGGAAAGCATGAAAGACGTGTGAATGATCTTTGTATTAAAGATCAATGTTCTGCACTCAAGAATAAGGGGTTATGTGTGCGCACATCACTTGTCTACCAGGCTGCCTACGTCACAGTTATTTACTTAACAGCTGTTCTGTATGGAGATAAAATTTCGTCGGTCACTCTAAAGGAAGACCATAGATTGACTGTCTATGGCACAGGATCCCAACTCGAGTCCCGATAATATGTTTTGTGCGGCCCGCGTTCATAATTTCAATGCATTTGCATAATAACAGCAATCATAACTTGCTCTCTTCATGAAATATTGTCAGGGCACTTGGAAAACCTCGAAGTAGGTGGCAGTATGATATTAAATTAACCTTAGAGAAACAGAGCATGAGTGTATGGATTGGATTCAACTGACTTAAGATAGGGTCCAACAGCTGCCTCCATACAACAGTTCCATACAACAACGAGGATTTTATCACCTGAACTAACAGAGACACTGGATCGTAAAGTTAAGTTGAAGTTCTCCTTGCGTTAGTCAACTGTTGCCGCATTTCGAAAATGTAACAGGAAATACGCTCAAAACTAAATTCGGCTTTAAATACTGGCAACGGCATAGAGAAAAAACGGAACAGGTCACTTCAACGGGTGTCACAGTAACGGGTTAAATGTATTTCAGAATAAGCCACGTGTCGGATCCGTAACTCCCTTATTTTGGACTAACAGGAGTCATATATGAATATTTACGAGTACGTACCATGTGTTCAACAGCACCTACTACCATAGGCAACCCAACTTGCTCATGTTATTTCGGTTGCCAACCCTTCAGGCAATATGTGTTCTGAAGTACGTGTTACAGTTCTATGTCAATTGGCTCTGTGCGATTAAGGTGCATTTTTGTCTTTAAAGAAACTCACAGTATTCCTAAATTATTACGTTAAATATCTCATATCATTCCCATATCTGTTAATCCTTTAAATCACAGTCGTAACTATATGGACGACCGGCTTTAACATTTACAATAAATTTGCATTTCCTACACAATATCTTACTGGATTTCGTATGATACTCAGAAAAAAATCGATTCTTTCCGTACACAGATAAAATCGAATGATCTTTGTAACGGATACACGACGTTTCGTCTGAGTCAGGAGACAATTCGAAATTATAATAGACGCGGTAAGTAATGTTATTTCTCCCAACCCCCACCATGCTGCGATACTAGCAGACAGAAAAACATCGTGCCTGTTCTAAATTGCTGCAAACTCTACCCGTACTACTTTATAACACTGAGAGGCTATAAAATAGTAAAAAAAAAAATAACGATTCTACGAACAATTGAGAAGCGGAAAGCATGAAAGACGTGTGAATGATCTTTGTATTAAAGATCAATGTTCTGCACTCAAGAATAAGGGGTTATGTGTGCGCACATCACTTGTCTACCAGGCTGCCTACGTCACAGTTATTTACTTAACAGCTGTTCTGTATGGAGATAAAATTTCGTCGGTCACTCTAAAGGAAGACCATAGATTGACTGTCTATGGCACAGGATCCCAACTCGAGTCCCGATAATATGTTTTGTGCGGCCCGCGTTCATAATTTCAATGCATTTGCATAATAACAGCAATCATAACTTGCTCTCTTCATGAAATATTGTCAGGGCACTTGGAAAACCTCGAAGTAGGTGGCAGTATGATATTAAATTAACCTTAGAGAAACAGAGCATGAGTGTATGGATTGGATTCAACTGACTTAAGATAGGGTCCAACAGCTGCCTCCATACAACAGTTCCATACAACAACGAGGATTTTATCACCTGAACTAACAGAGACACTGGATCGTAAAGTTAAGTTGAAGTTCTCCTTGCGTTAGTCAACTGTTGCCGCATTTCGAAAATGTAACAGGAAATACGCTCAAAACTAAATTCGGCTTTAAATACTGGCAACGGCATAGAGAAAAAACGGAACAGGTCACTTCAACGGGTGTCACAGTAACGGGTTAAATGTATTTCAGAATAAGCCACGTGTCGGATCCGTAACTCCCTTATTTTGGACTAACAGGAGTCATATATGAATATTTACGAGTACGTACCATGTGTTCAACAGCACCTACTACCATAGGCAACCCAACTTGCTCATGTTATTTCGGTTGCCAACCCTTCAGGCAATATGTGTTCTGAAGTACGTGTTACAGTTCTATGTCAATTGGCTCTGTGCGATTAAGGTGCATTTTTGTCTTTAAAGAAACTCACAGTATTCCTAAATTATTACGTTAAATATCTCATATCATTCCCATATCTGTTAATCCTTTAAATCACAGTCGTAACTATATGGACGACCGGCTTTAACATTTACAATAAATTTGCATTTCCTACACAATATCTTACTGGATTTCGTATGATACTCAGAAAAAAATCGATTCTTTCCGTACACAGATAAAATCGAATGATCTTTGTAACGGATACACGACGTTTCGTCTGAGTCAGGAGACAATTCGAAATTATAATAGACGCGGTAAGTAATGTTATTTCTCCCAACCCCCACCACCGCCACAAACAACAACAAATACAAGACACGTCTGTGTGTTCGTCCGCATATTTAAAATCGAGTAACCCTGATTGAATTATGATAAAATTTGGTATGGACATTATTACATTCCACCGCAGCAAAATTCGTAACTTATAATTTACTACAACTGTTAAAACATGGCGGATGAGCGAACCCGTGAGAGGGAAACGACACTAGCGCCAAATAATATTCGGTCCTGAAATTAAGTATGATAATATACCAAAAAAGTACATGAACTTTTGTAAAGGTACTTTCTGAGCAATGCCCATGGGAAAATTTCCAATGGTTTCAGTTTTACTACAATAAATCATAAAACCACTGGAGCTAGAAAAGCGGAATGTACGGAGGCCGATCATAAATATACTTAAAAATTAAGCATGAAATGATGACAAAGTACACATACAAACATGGCGGCGATAAGAAATCCAAGAAATTTAAATTACGACCTGTCCAAAACATATTATTTGTATCCATGCCCCAATAGCAGTAAATAACGCATTCTGTGACATACTTATAATCGTAAACAATAATACGAACTGACCCAAGCGGGATTCGACACTGTGAGGACGCCTTCATCCCATGCTGAATGAACCGTGTGCCCCTACACGTTACGTCCTGTTACAAAACCACAATTACTGCCCCTCACTTAAACAATAAATCTGACGACCGGATAGTTAGGTAGCTCCTTTACCCACCCGACCCAGTTCACCGCCGAAATTCATTGTCTTGACGAGACACGTCTTGTTAAGTGTGTGCAACATCTCTCTCTCTCTCTCTCTCTCTCTCTCTCTCTCTCTTCCTTGTTTCTACCGTACCGTTTTGAGAGTGAAGACAACTTTTCTTTTCCCAGTCCATTCATCTCGGCTTCATTCAACCCTCCAGCTGGAGCAGATGTCTCGCCCACATGTTTTTCCACCCCATTCGTTTCCCACAGTCTGAAAGCGGCACAAAAGCTTTGTGAACACAGACATAATCTGTCCCAGTTGCGAATTTTAATAACACCAAAAGTGGAAAACTATCTTCAAATAAACGGGAGAAAGGTTTACTTCTTGCTATTTTGTGTATGCCCTCTCTTTCTGATGCTATTTCAGGTTCTTAAGGCGACGAGGATGAAGACGGCCATCCTTTTGGATCTGTTCCATGTAGACTGGTAGATAGTGACCTACGTTTTCAGAGGTGCATCTGAACTTCGTTCAATGTCTACCAGAATAAACGGTGCTACATCCCAAATGACTGCCATCTTCTTTCAATGTTTTTCTTTTCCTAATGTGTTTTCTCTCTCCTCTAAGTAGATGACAGAACAATAAAAATATATCTTAGGGAAATGGGGTTGGGAGATGTGGAATGGACATACCCGGTTCAGGACAGGAACCGCCAGTGGGATGTTGTGGACGTGGCAATCAACCTTTGGGTTTCGTAAAAAGGTGGGAAATTCGATTAGCTGAGCGTACTATTCACGTAATTCCTTCTGGAGGAGACTGCTCCACGGAGTTTATTTAGTTGCCACTCCTTTTGTAGGGTTCTTTCTTTGGAGTATATAATACACGATTTTTTATACGTACTTTTTTTCAAATATTAAAATTTCTCAAATCGGGGTGCGTCTTACGTTTGATTGCGTCCAAGAATATATAGAGTATGTTTCTTTCCCTGGCTCAAGGGCGCGTATTACAATCGATAGCGTCTTAAAATCGAGCAAATGCAGTAATTATTTACCAAGAACATTCTTACCCAGTCCTTTGATGTTTAATTCTATAATCCAACATCCAGGAGCGTTAATCTTCAGATACTCGATGTTCGTTTTAACTGTCATTTTCACACACAATATTTATCACCGAGTGTTTTTCGAGCTACATGTTTCGGTCGCATGCGGCCATATTCAGTTTCGTTATATCTGCATGGCTACTACAATCATATTTCGGGTTCATGAGTCCACAACTGACTGCTGAGTCACAACACAACCCAAGATTCAACCGTGTGCTTCCACAAATACGAATAATAAAAATTAGTGTTACCGTTGCGCAAATCTAAAGTCATCAGTAATTAACTCTGATAAGGCAGGCCTACTGTCATAACGAATTCTTCCACAGCATTTATCCTTACAAATAGACAGCAACAATTTACACTGGCATTTATACTGTGCAGTTTCACATGACCGTCTCGTTCTCATCCTTCCCTCTCAACGCCCCGCGCTGTTATTCCATCCGACAACTTCATTCAGCTCGCTAAGACAAGGTCACTGGACAGCCCATCGAGATTAATCGATTGCAGCACACAATCTCCTACATACAGGTGCTTCTAATTATACACATTCGCTGTCCATGGTTTTATTTCTGTTATGAGCATCCGTATACAATCCACGGCCACATTTTAAAGCCAGGGAATGTGATACAGGTAAGATTAGTATCAAAAACTTCTGACGCCAGTTTTATATCAAAATGGCGTTTTCAATACACAGGAACACAATTCCCACGTGTAACGAGTCACCTGTAATTAAAACTGAGTGGATAGAACCACTGACGAGGGTCACCCTAATGCTGGAGGCAGCAATGACCTCTGAAACGCTGGTAAACTTCTACCATACTGCAGGACACTACAACCCCGAAGACAGCCATCTTCGTGAGAACCTCAAATCCTACTCAGTCTAGTAAAGTTGGGTCCAAGAGGTTTAATATAAAACGTTGCTATTTAGACTGAATCTACTGAATAAATATAACGTAGATAAAAACATTTGATAGTTTGTAGAATCTAGATAACTGAACTGCCACGGAGTACGTGCATGTTACCAAGGAAACAACATTAATATTTAATATTGTATCGGTCCACGTCTCCATAAATAAAGAAAGCCACATTTCAGTAAACTATTTACATGTATCTCGTGTGAAGTTTTAATCGGTTTTATCATCGACGAAACATGTTATAGGGCCTACAGAATCTATTACTTAAATTTTCACTGAAAAATTTTGTCCTTGCTGTTTATTTCTGAAGTACTGTATAGTTTATTTACTCTTTAAATAAGTAGCGTTTTACCTCTCTGAAAGACTCTGATAAATACAGCACCACTATTTGTTTGGCATAAGATTGCTTTATGAATTAAATGTGCAAACTAAATTACAGACAGACATCTTCTTGAGTTTTAATTGGTGAAGCACTCATATTTCGGGTTCTGACGGCAAGTACGAAGATGGCTGTCTTCCGGGATGTTATGGCATATATTCTGGTGAATAGACCGATGTTTCATAGGGGCGGAACATTCCAGAAGACGACCATCTTCATAGCGAGGCAGCGTTTAAGTTGTTCTGGAATATAACGACGTTACTGCCTAAATATACACGAGTCAATGCCCACTTCTTATAATAGACCTCTAAATATCGCCTTTTAGTCGATCTTTTCCACACTTAGGGCACATTCATCCTTGCATCATAGACTCGGCAGCAGCAAAGTCACACCGCGTGGATAGATATCAACGTTTTGGAGGGACATACTGCCTCCACCTTTAGACCTGAGACAGTACGATATTTTTTGTAAAATCATTTTCTTCGATTTCATCTTTCGTCTAGGTCTTTTGAACCACAGCATTTCACAAATTTCCAGGACATAAACTTAATATAGAGTATCCCAAAAAGATATATACACATATTCAGTTAATGAAATAAAGATCTTCCGCCATTTTGCGTATTAGAATCATGGGGAAAATATTGCTAAGCGTATACCACACAAAGTTGGCCTCGTAAACGCAACATACGGAGAACGATAACAAGGGTTAATATTCTATATCATAATGTGTATACATCTTTTGGAGACACACTGTATATTTGATCCTAGACCAGGTTTGAAAATAACAAGACCAGGGGACCCAACAGACTACGAATTTGTCCTCCTGTAACCTAAAGACGGAAGTAGAACCAATTTTCGAAACGTTGTGGATTTTTTTAAACACTTAGACGACAGATATCGTACAGTGCTAAAAGGCACGTTCACGTTTTTCTTCGTTAGTGGGTCATGGCAGAGGCCCGAAATGTTTCAATGCCTCATCCACGGAGAAGGTAATATTGTTTGTTTAAATGCCGGCACAGAAAAACGCTCATCAAGAATCGTTCGGAAGTATCGGTTAAACTTCAATTCCTCAGATTTATCGGAATCATGTTTAAATCATTTTGCCATTATCTGTCGTGGAGAACAGAGTTCACAGTTTCAGAATTGGCCCAGAGATAGCAAGGTCAAGCTTGCTGACTAGGTCTGCCATCTACACAGAGTTCAAGACATTAATAAGAACTGTTATTTATTTTGAAAAAATTTTCTATTCATTGTGAGACAACGAAATTTCACATCAAGAGTGTCTGGACAATGTATCCTATCCCATTTCATCATCTGCTCCGTAATATGGATCCTCCACTAAATATTAGGATGATTAGATGGAGGAGGATGAGTCGATTATACTATTCATTTCATCATTAATTTTCTCTGTTCCTTCTGTTTTCTGTCAGTTTTTCTTTCAAGTTCACAGTGTCGGCGACGTATTTGACGTACACTTCGGAATACATCAAAATTCGGGCGGTGAAACAAATAACAAATGCGACAATAACATACAAGGTCATTGTTTCCGATAATGTGATCCGTGGTCACTTTTGCGCCACAAAGATTACCTCACTTCCCACTGTTGCGTAATAATGTTTCAGAGTCATTGGGGTTGCCTAGTTCCAAGGAATGATGCGACGACAGACATACAGAAATGGGCGGGCATATAAGATGTTCTTCTCTCACGCTACGGCGTAAAGAACGACTAACAATTAGTGCGTCCTTTCTTGCAAGCCGTTCTGGACCCGGGTCGATTCCGCGATGACGGTCCGAAATCAGTGAGCTATAAGATTTCGCGGTCACTATGATCACATGGTTCTAAGTATTCCAGAACATAATTTGTCTTCCTAAACCAGACTGAGCCTAACGCCCTCGCAGAGACATGGGGACACAGAATGACTGACCTGAGATAAATTTATTTTCGTCACACCTTCTCGAATCCAACGGTAGCTGTGGCCCAAGCGTGAAGCCAACGCCTCACTTGCAGACAGTGCAGAGATTGAGCTTTAACAGCATTGGGTGGTAAAATTATTGCAAGCAGTAAGTAAAGAGAATGTCTAAGCGGTCGTGGCCTAATTTAGAGAACTATAATATTTCTTGTAACTGGTATAGCTGGTTCATCGACCCAAATCAAAATACGGGGCCTTCGAGTTCCGCAGTAATGCCAAACACTGCGCAACGACACTTCTTGAAGGAACACAAGAATTTGTTAAACCTATAAGGACAACCCGAAGGTTCAACACCGCAAACACCAAGGCCCACCTACTGGAAGAGCCAGTTCCATCCACCTGTCAACATACCTCCCAAAAATCCATGTTATTCTACCATCTAAAAAGTTGTCATTTTCCACAAGGTTTCACAAGACATCTGTGCATTCATAGCACCCCCCCCCCCCTACATGCTGGCATGTGGAATGTGACCACATGGCCAACCCTGTCGGAGTACGACCTGTGGCCCGCGAGTCTCAATGTAACAATTATGAGGAAGGTGACAGGCAGCAGGGATGTGAGGGGAGGGGGGCAGTTGTGTCTATGGGGTCGAGGTGTTGACTGGCGATTACGTCACACAGCTCTCGTACAAGAGAAGGGCACAAGCATATACTTACGGGGTCACAAGAGGTCAACAGCGGGCACGCACACTGGGTCGGCGCATGGCAACTGACAACACGCACATACAGATTGTCCCAAAAAGATGTGTGCACAGCGGCACGCTTGATGGCCGTCTGTCACCGCTGGTCATCTGTGCCACGAAGCGAACGGTGGCCATTTTGAACACCTACACTAGATTAGCTAATTCGCTAAGTGCCAATGTCGACGCACGTGTTGGTTTAGTTTATTAAAATGCATTTATTTCATTTACTGAATGTGTGTGTGTACATCGTTTTGGAACATTCTGTAACATCCTTAATATTCTGAAACCTCCCTACAACGTAATCCTAAGACAGAAAAGGCACAGTGGATTTATGGACGTCATAACCTATGCTATTAATAAGCAGTGCATGTTTTCCGTTTCCTTTCAGCTTCCATCCGTCTGTGTTTAATCTATTTCTTCCGTTCTTATTCTTTCATTTATTCATCTTCTCTTTTTGCTTTATTTATTCTTTTCTTGCCCTTATTATTCCACTCTTTCTTTCGTCATCTATCACCTGTCATGTACCTTTTTTGTAAAATTGTTTTTTTTCGCCTTTTGTCTTCATTAAACGAAAATAATTAATCCTACAACGCGACTGATTCACAAGAGAAAGATGTTTTCATAACGCGGATTCATCTTAGATATAACGCGATCGAAATAAAGCAAATGAAGGAATTCATAGAATAAAACCAGACCCGCAGACAAAAAAACTTATTATGCAAAAGTGATGCACTCAAATCAATAATGACTTAACTACTATAGAATACTAGAGCAGAGCGCTCCTTTCGGAGCTCCTCAGGGGGGTTGATCAAGTTTTTAAAACGCAACCAACCCCCCTTCGGGCAGGTTGGTTGCGTTTGAAAATTTTGGGTAAGAAACTAAACCAACCCCCCACGAATAGGGGGTTAAAATACTTGACCAACCCCCACAAAGGGGTTGCGTTTTAAAATCTTGAGTAAGAAACTAAACCCCTTCAGGGGGGTTGGTTGCGTTTTAAAATCTTGTGTAAGACACTAAACTAACCCCCTCTTCGAGGGGATTAGTTTAGTGTCTTACTCAAGTCATTTGGCAAGTCATTTGTTTACTCGGCATTGTTGTGTTGGTTGTTTGATGACGTCATTTTTTGACGACAACGACAAATCACAAATTTTTATAGTAGATTACATTCGTGATTGTGACTCCGAAATCTCTGTTCCTAACCCCTGAACTCCAACTGAAACAATGGTTTACATTACGCGACTTTTATTTTATTTTCCGGGAACGCAACTATTGAGTTATAGGACAAACGTAGGGGACCTTCCGATTTATAGTATGGCGTTGAAACCTCCTCTTATCTGCTGGACAAAATATTGTGTCGACGCTCCAACGTTTCGTTGCAACACGCAATTTTATTTTTCACTTCTTAAATTGTTGCTTCTCGCAATGTGTTCTGCCTACAGCACGGGTGGCTGGGGTTGAAATGCATTCGTGGTTGGTTTTTTTAATCGCCATGTTTATAATGCCTTTGATGACCGTAAAATGTCATTAATTTTTGTTTAACTCTACATAATTTTCTTCCCTTTATTCACATTCGAGAACGAAGCTGTGAATTGAAATTACTCTTAACTGTTTTTTTAAAATAATTAAGCAGTTTCAACTGTTTCTGCCTTTCTGCTAATATATTTTGTGACGCGTCTCTGTCTGATTTTGTATCTCGTGGAGTTATGGCAGCTTGTATTTTGGCCAGGAATTCAAAAGGTGGGTGTCTAATGCTATACTGTAAAACCGAAGCCAAATCAGAAGGCTTCAGTCGATTGGGTGGGTTCAAAAATTTGCACACAATGAGTCGATACACAAACAACATTTTTGTCAGAATATCTGTTGGAACAAGACCACTTGGAAGTCTTAGACAGTTAATATGAAAATATTAACACAGAACTCTGAAACCGATGGGAGGATGTTGACTTGTTTCATTTCGCTCAGGACAGGGTCAAGCCGTGGGCGCTTTCAAACAGAAATTTCATTCGCGTCCCCTCCCCAAAAAGCTGATAATTTTAATACTATCCTCGCATCTGCGTTTAAATCTCCCTATGAATCACTTCCCTTCGGCTTTTCCGACCAAAACTTCGTATGCATTTCTCATCTTCCCATCTTCACGATTTTATAACCCAGAAAAGTACAAATTACAAGTCCTCAACGTCGTGGTCGAGAGGTTAGCACTCCTGCTTCGTGTTCTGGAGGTCACGGGTTCAAAGTCTTGGCCCAGAACGCGGCTATCCTGATGGGTTTCGTGGTTTTCATCAGTCACTGCAGGCAGATGCCGGTTTAGTACCTTAAATTAAACTACGACTGCTTCCTTCCACATCCTTTCAAATTCATTATTCAGTCCATCTTCCCATTCGACGCTATATAAGTTGAGCTACTGAAAAACTGTCTTTAATAAATACAGCTGCTCGTTGTGCAATTCTTCGCACATTTCTGTTACTTCCTCCCTCTTAGGTTCAAATATAACCCCCAGCCAACCCTTCTCCAACATCACCTTACCAAGTTCTTATCTTAATGCAAGAAACAAAACTTCACATAGATACAAGATAAGAAACAATGTTTTAAATTCACGTTTATGGACACGAGACGGGAAGATGACTTGTTCCAAACTAAAGGCAGCAAAGATTCTCCGAATTTAATCTTTCCTCAGTTCACTCATGAATGTTAAGTTTAATCTGTTGCTGTGATTACATACTAACCTATTCTGTATGTAGTTTCAGTACGCCACTGGAAATCTGTGACGCAAACTAATACCAATGACAGAAACACCTTTCCGTGAAAAGCAAAGCAGAAGACAACTGGTTTCTGTAGTTTACGTAACTCCAATTTCAACTACTTCGAAAAAAAAGGGCTCGGTTATAATTTTCCTTATCTCGGCGGAGGGGAGTTCAACTTGCGTAAGCTCAAGGAAAGAAACATTTAAAAATATGCAAAAACATGGTTACCACTTTAACAAAGTAACTGAATTGTTTGATTCTACTCAAGAAATCTGGAAGGGGTAGGACAGAAGAAATGAGTACAGAATTATAATGGAAATTTAAAAAAAAATCGGTCGCTTTGAAGACCGATACAGGATGGATGTCAGAATATACTGAACGTGAGAGGATTTTGGAGCTAGTCTTCACCACTCCCGTGATCAAGACCAGATAGTTTTAAGGGGCTCATATGAGTGGTAATTTCCCCTCCTTTTATACGCCTACCTGATGACATAAACAGTTCCAGTTATCGAAAAGTTTTGTTTGAAAAAACCAAGACGATGGCTGATGTCCATAATACTGGCCATGTTAGAATATTTATCACGTCAATGATAAGAACGCCTCTGCCTTTCAAACGCTGACGGCCAAAAAAAAAAAAAAATCCCGGTGTAGCTCCCAGAGCTAAGAATAAGCAACTCTTTGATGCAGTCTCAAAAAGGAAAAGCCGCCATCGGCGATGACGAAATGCATCACAAACTCAGGGCGGGCATATGGACGCAACACACATTTCATGCTTCCAGTACCACAGGACGATTGTAAGGGCGACAGGCAAATGTTTTTTCAGCATTTTTGTTGTAGATATGTTATTATTTAACTCTTATTGGGAATTATAGTATTATAGCCTATAAAGATGTTAGGTCATTTGTAACAAAAATAGCAGGTAGAATAGACAAGCCTGTCTTAAGATAGGGTCCAGTGGCGTGTTCTTTTGAACACGGTAATGAGCCTTCGTGTTCTATAAAAGATGTCAAATTTCTTGCCTAAATGAGAGACTGTTAGCTTCTGAATGTAGGTTGTCTTCGACATACGAAAACAATAAATTACTTCCCGAAATTATCACTCCGCAAATACTAATCGTGTCAGTTTGAAGTTTCTATGTGACTGCAGCTCATCTGTAAGAATCAGCGTAATATAATTCGTTTCTCTGTTCTTCTTTGGAGACAGTCGCAATTAAACGTTGAAAAAAAAGTGTCCATCCGTCCGTCCATAAATAACAACACCTCGAGAACCGTCAGAAGTATTTTCATCCCCAAATTTTATACTGCAAAATGTTACTAAAAATTTGTCAACACATTTCAGTTTTTGCACAGAAGCAATAAGGGCCACTTTACCCGAACACTTAACGTGCGTCCTTGCGCGCGTGACCGCGGTGGGGAATCGCCAGCCAATTTCTCGACGTCGGTCAACCCTGGGGAATCCCCATGTTGTCGTTATCGTTACTGCCAGAGACGCCCCAGATGCTGCGCCAATACAAAGGTCATTGATACCTCTGACGTCTTAAGCGCTATTCCCAAAGTTAAAGCCTTGCGAACTTGCAAGAATTGTTACGTGTACACTTCCTAACTTCTTACTTTCTGGGTCCGTAATAGCCAAGTCAATGAATATGTGCGAAATACCACGCGATCGGAATTATACACTGTGAAGAACATAAAGACATAATTTTAGCTTATTTGTAACCAACAATATGATCTTCTGGGTCGTCGCGCCGTGTATTATGTTTGAATATCAAGGATTCGGAAAACATACTGCCTCCATCTTCAAAGCTACATGGCGCCACAACCCAGAAGACCACACACTAAACTCACACGATCGTGGATACTTCAAACCGTGCATTTATTTTTAAAACTTTTAAAATGGACAAATAACTTTCAGAATAAAGTGACTTTGTATTGCAAACCGGAAATGCACCTTAAGAATAGTGTATTTGTGGGCCTATATCATCAGGCCTTTTAAAGTGCAAATACAGAATATTATGCAAACGTTGATTATAATATGGCTGCGTTCAATGAAGATGGATGAACATTAAAAAAGCGTACAAGCATTAATAAATATGACGAAGGCGATGATGATGGTGGTGGTAATAATAATATTGTTAATTTTCTATTTAAACGGGGTTTATCTGCTTGCAACAAGGATACCTTAACTTTTTATGATAAAATGTAGGAATCATTAAAATAAAATACATTTTACTCACCGAACTTCCATAGACATTAGACAGCTACAAAATCCATGCACCTGAAACCAAAGGAATTACAGTTAATAAAGAACTTCACAAATTAATCTGTAACAGTATATGACGTCATGATCACATCAAGACCTAAGAGCATAACACAATGATTCTTTTCCCGTTATTTAATGACGTTTTACCCACTGCAGATATATGTAAGGGTCCCAATAAAATAAGACTGAGGTTTTCTGAACAGGTCTCAAAGTCAAAGAACGAAACGCCTTCATAAGACAAGGCAGAAGAAAAACATGCACAAACATTTCCCAGGGTGTACGCAGACACTCTTATCGCTCAGCTAGGACTATACAAAAGCAGCGGCGACTAAGTGGAGGGAGTAGGTGGGATCCCTCGATCAAGCTCTTTGAAGCAGGTCTTGCGAAGGAGCGATCTTTAGTCCATTCTCCTTTTTGAGAAACCTCTAACTACATTTGCAGTGTCAAACAAAACCCTAGTCCTAACGCCATCCGACATGTAAGCTCACGTCAGGCTTATCGGTACTCCTAATTCTTTTACTTATTTAGGGTTGTAAACTCGACGTTTGTGGACGTCGATGCAAACAGTGAATACCACAGAGATTCATGGCGGTAGCCATGGTGATGAAAGATTTCCCCGTGCAAATGTATAAACCCCCTACAACTTCTTTAAAGATAAGTAGAATACTTGTTTCTGTGTCCAGTGGAGTAACATCTGAAACATGGCCGTGACGTAATTCAGGGGTTTGTTTAGTCGCCGGCTTTAACAGCGGATGACAAAGGCCAGGTTTCCATCTCGACTACTCCGGTTTTCCACTAGCAAAACCAATGGATCGTCTAGGGGATGGGAATAGTGTCTGTCGGCGGCCGAGTTCAACAGAGATATAGGTTCACACCCATCGTAACATAAAACAGTTAAAACATGCAAAGTTCATAAATTGCGATGTGTACTGTGCTCCTTGGGCTGCCTCAGAAGGAAATCTTCATCTCACAAGCGAGAAACATTTAAACGCAGAGATACAGGAAATTTGAGCAGAAAAGCAGAGACAGTAGACAAAACAAAGAATTAGAAATAAAAGAAAATTAAACCTGAAAATGTAAACTGCTCAGTCACTATGTACTGTATGCATAATGAATTTTTGACTTGCTCATTTTAATCATTAATAGGCCTAAATAAAAATTTAATTTGGAGATTTCAATGCAAAAGTAGAGAGAGAAAATATTTTAAACCCATCAAATGGGATTAGAGTTTACACAGAATTAGTAATGGTATTAGAATTAGAATGGTAAACATTGCCACGTAAAAAACATACTTGTCAATAGTTAAAATGTTCTCACATCGCAAAATTCATAAATCTGCTACTACGTCTCCTGACGGAAAGACAACACAGTCAGGTTGATAAAATCTTGGTAGACAGAAGACGGCAAGAAGGCATACTTCATGTTCTATCTCGTAGAGAAGTTAATTGTGAAACTGACCGCCATTTTTGGTAGCTGCAAGACGTAGGGAAATGCTACCAGAAGTAAACGAACAGCACAATAGTTTGATGAGCTGAGAGTTTGCCTCGAGAAGCTTAACGATGCACAAGCAGAAGAACAATATCGAGTTAAATACCAAACAGGTTTGTAATTTTGGAAAACTTGGATGCCAATGTGGACATCAAATACTTGGGAACGAAGGTAACAAATCAAAATTACATTCACTGGGAAATTAAGAGCAGACTAAATTCGGGGAGTGATTTTTATTACGCAGTTCGCCATCCTCTGCCTCCCATCTGCTATCTGAACAAATAAAGATTAATCCCATTATACACTACATAATACATCTCAGTGCAGCAGGGTTCTTTAGAAACTGATGGTCACTCAGCTCGTAAATACATTCCTGGGGCATCAATTCAGTCCACATCCTCACACAGTTTCCTCCATACTCATTGTAACGTTACCTTCCATCTACTCTTTGGTCTTCCAAGGTGTCGCTTCTCCTAGTTTTACAACTCGTACGTATCTCACATCCGCCATACATGCTACATTCCCAGTCCATCGCATTCTCCTTGATTTAACTCGAAAGGAACTTGGTGAAGTGGCAAGTTTTCATGTTCCTGTTTACGTAATTTTCACCAGTTGTATGTTACTTCTCTCTTAGGTTCAAATAGTGCCCATGTGGTTTAAATATATCGTCTAGGGGCCCAAAAATGAATAAACAGGTGCAGTCAACACACTAGAAGTTGCGTATACTTCACTAGTTACAAGGGAACTGGGAAGATTCTTCCCACTGTGATACAGGCCTGTCCTGGACAAGTTTCGCTGATAACATTCAAACTTCTCCCCTTGCCGGGCTCAGCACTTTGAAGATAATACACAAATTTCAGAGATGATAAGAAGAAAAGTCTTTCTTTCAGCTACCAACGAGATACCACGCGAGGCTGCTTGTTTCCCATGCACCTCCCCGCGTTCCTCGTATCTTTCCCAGAATTAGGTAGTCACAAAAAAGAATGAATTTCAAAGAATAGAAGGAGATCGCACATCAGTCTGGTGGTTCCCATGGGAACCGCTCGCGGTGACCTTCACAAGGCTTCAACCCCATTCAAAGTAGAGCAGAGAGAAGAATGGACCCTCACCGACAACTTTCCCACAGACCCAGGTGGCAGCACCTTACACCAACCACCGATTCAACATTCGCGTTCAATCCCATTGGGTCTTAAGACCTTGCTCAACTCTAATTCATCCCAAGTTCACTGACAGTAGCGCTGCTTCGCGTTCGGGGGTCCTCCGGATCAAATCTCCGCTCGACGATCGACTATACTCTCAGTATTTACAATCAAATCTTACGTTAGTGCCTTAAAGCAAGAGACGACTGGTTCCTTCCCAATGCATCATTAGGCCTTAGTAGTGTATTGGTTAAGAGGGCCTAGACCTATAATTGCCCAAGAATACGTATTTTCAAAGTATTCCTGGTTTTAATAGACACTTAAAATAGGACAAAATAAATGACTAGTTAATATAGTACACATTGTGAAATAATTGCATACAAAATTTTGATTGAAAAATATCAGGTAATGGTATAATTTCTGAGAGGCAAGGGGAACAGCGGAGGATAATATTAATATGGATAACACACAAATAGGTTATGAAGTTTGTAAAGTACACTCAACTCACTCAGATTTCAAAGATGGGTGGGATTTTCTGTTTCATGGACTAAATCAACTGGTCAGCTGAAGACTGTCTTCTGGGATGTAAAGCCGAGTGGACTTATAGGTGTGTAGCAACGTTTCGGAGAAACATGCCGTTCCATCTTCAGGGTTAGAAGCAGACAGTATGAATCTTTGAAACGTTGGTATGTGTTTAAACGTCCACACGCGTTACATTCCAGAATCATCAACATCTTCATTGCCATGGGAACCTCAAATCTCACACCGTCACTCCGTTTTTTTAGAATGAGAGATCAAATTTATATCCTGTAAAACATTCTAGTTTTGTGTAAGTTGTTATAATCTTCTGGTTTTCAACAGAGACTGGGATAGATCCTGAACTGAAAAATGGTAAAAATCAATATTATACTTGAGTCACCGCACAAGAATCAGCCAGTAGGTCCTCCGGGAGACCCGGTTTTACGTGTTACATCAGCGACAGAAATAATTTTAGCAGCAAGGTCTTCCACAAGAACAGATTTCATATAATCCCATTATTATATAAATTACTTTCAGATTTCTAAGCTAGAACAATGGAACTTCAAGTAATTAATTATGGAGAAAGAAAAAGTAGAGAGTCGGGTGACCTCGGTGGTCGAACGCCGGACCTCACGAATGAAAACCGCGTGGACAAACAGGCAAGTATTTCCATGCAATTTCCTCATGACCACAACGGAAACATACAACTGCAATTCTGATAATAAGATTAAAGTTGGTTGGTCATATGAAGCAAATCATAAAAAAGAAAATATACTCTGCCAATGTACATCTCTAATGTACACTACTCATATATAAAATATTACCAGCTCAAGCAAACAACTAGATGCATACCATCGTCAGCTCTGCTTGAGTCCAAAGACACTGAGAACAGACATGAACCTACTGGAAGCGACTGACCTTGTCAATGTACGAACCTACGCCTGAATTTTCCTGCAGAAACTGAGAAAACCACGGAAGGTCCCGAACACAAAGCAGGAATAATATAGCCGCTACACTGTGACGCTCGGCTACTTACGTCAGCAGTCGTCCTGTCGAAACACAAACAGCGTAAACAACCTAACTTCTATCGAAGAAAGCTAAGCAGAGCGGGGTATAACATGAAGGCGTATAGGGGGCGTTGGCGTTGAGATAAGACATTGAAGATTGCTGTCTTCTGGGTTGTTGTGCCATGTAGTCTGGTAGATGTTTACCGACGTTTCAGAGGTCCTTGCTGCCTCCATCACGAGGGCGATACGGCGCAACAACTCAGAAGACAACCATGTTCATTGTTCTGTTTGTATATTTAGTCCATATGGTATCGTATAATTTAAATTGTTAAAAATGTGAACAGTTCATTCTAGCTGTTTAAATATTGGGGGGGGGGGGATTTCTTACACTGATCTTGTAGAACAGTAAATTCAGACCAAAAGATTTAAATATCTCCTACTTCAAGTCAGAAATGCGCAATTCTGAACTGACCAGTTTTTTCTCGAAGGGCCCTCTCGCGTCGAAATAAACGCTGACGAGTGAAAAGCAATCATTTACTGTCTCGGGATCCATACAACTAGGAATTTTAGCGATATGAAATTCCGTCACTAACGACATCGTATTTTCCGTTTCTCACGTTCATTTTGTGCAGGTGTGAACCGCGCTTCCAGTATCAGGATAACTGCTGCCAAGCTTCTTTAAATTTTAAATACCTCCTCGCATTATAATCTGAACTTCTCCACTAGAGTGACGGGAGAGGGGGAGTCATTTAACCATTCGCCTCGACATTTAAATTCACTGTATTTTTACACAGATGCCCCAAAAATATGTATAAGCATTAGGTTAATATTCCGTATTATAATGTATATATACATTTTTTAT